TAGTAGTAGTAGTAGTAGTGGTGTGGTAGTAGTAGTAATAGTGCAAGTAGTAGTAGGAGTAGGCGTAGTAGAGTAGTAGTAGTAGTAGTAGTAGTAGTAGTAGTAGTAGCGGTAGTAGTAGTAGTAGTAGTGGTCGTAGTAGTAGTAGTAGTAGTAGTAGTAGTAGTAGTGGTAGGAGTAGTAGTCGCAGTCGTCGTCGTCGTCGTTGTCGTCGTCGTAGTAGTAGTAGTAGTAGTAGTAGTAGTAGTAGTCGTGGTAGTAGTATTATTATAAAAAAAGCATATAGTAAAAAGTAGTAGTCAAGTGGTGGTGATCGTAGTAGTAAAGTGGTAGTAGTAGTAGTCCAAGCAAGTAGTAGTAGGCATTGGGAGTAGGAGTAGGAGGTAGTACGAGTACTATTCCTAGATTAGTAGTAGTCGTAGTTAAGTAGTAGTGGACGTAGTCTTAGTCGTGGACGTAGTCTTAGTAGTGTAAGTAGTAGTAGCAGCCGTCGTAGGAGCAGCGTAGTAAGTTAAGTAGTAAGTAGTAATAGTAGTAGTAGTATAGTAGTAGTAGTAGGGGATAGTAGTAGTAGTAGTAGTTATTAGTAATAGTAGTATCGTATTCAGTAGTCGTAGGTCTTAGTCGTAGTCGTAGTAAGTAGTGGTAGTAGTTGTATTAGTTGTTGTAGTTGTGTTAGTAAGTATGTTCGTAGTAGTATTAGTAGTAGTAGTAGTAGTAAGTAGTAGTGGTTAAGTATGTGGTAGTAGTAAGTGGTGGTAGTGGTATAGTAGTGGGGGAGGAGGAGCAGGAGTAGTAAGTAGTAGTAGTAGTAGTAGTAGAGTAGGAGTATGAGTAGTAGTAGTAGTGTAGTAGTAGTAGCAAAGTAGTAGTGTAGTAGTAGTAGTAGTACTTAGTCGTCTTAGTCCGTATAGTAATAGTAGATGTAGTACGTAGTCGTAGTAGTAGTAGTAGTCGTAGAAGTAGTCTCAGTAGTAGTAGTAGTAGTAGTAGTACTAGTACTAGTGCTAGTAGTAGTAGTAGTAGTAGTAGTAGTCGTAGTAGTCGTAGTAGTCGTAGTAGTCGTAGTAGTGGTAGTAGTGGTCGTAGTAGCGGTCGTAGTGGTCGTAGTGGTCGTAGTGGTCGTAGTGGTCGTAGTATTAGTAGTAGTAGTAGTAGTAGTAGTAGTAGTAGTAGTAGTAGTAGTAGTGGTAGTGGTAGTAGTAGTAGTAGTAGTAGGAGGAGGAGGAGGAGGAGGAGGGAGGGGAGGAGGAGGGTGTCGAGGAGGCGGCGCGACGAGAGGACACGAGGACGAGGGGAGAGGCGGGGAGGAGGAGGAGGGGGAAGGGAGTGATTGAGCGATTGATAGGAGGGCGGCGCGGACGAGGAGGACGACGAGGACGAGGGGGAGGAGGCGGAGGAGGAGGAGGGGGAAGGGAGTGATTGAGCGATTGAGTAAGTGAGTGAGTGAGAGAGAGAGGGAGTGAGTGAGTGAGCGAGAGAGGAGGGTTGAGGAGGGATGATGGGGAGGAGGAGGCGATGAGGAGGGGTAGGAGGAGGGATGGCGGGGGGGGGAGGTGGGGGGCGGGTGGGGAGGAGGAGTAGGAGGAGGAGGAGGAGAGGAGGAGGAAGGGGGGAGTAGGGAGGAGGAGGTGGAGTAGAGGAGGAGAGGGAGGAGGAAGGTTGTGGTGGGGGGGGGGGAGGAGGGGGGAGGGTGGGAGGAGGGAAGGGGGGGGAGGAGGGGAGGAATGGGGGGGGAGCAGTAAAAGGGCGGAGGGAAGGGGGTGGCAAGGAACGGGGGGGCCAACCAGGTGTGGGCTTTTAGGGCGGAAGGGGGATGAGTAAGCGAGGAGGAGCAGTGAGCAGGGATCATGGAGGAGGGAGCAGGGGGATGGGGGGGGAGGAGGGAGAGGGTGGAGGAGGGGTCTGGAGAGGGGGGGGGACTGGGGGTGAGGGGAGAGGTAGAGGGGGGGGGTGGCGTGAGGAGGAGGAGGAGAGGAGTAGTCGGGGAGGAGTAGGAGGGAAGGAGGAGGAGGGCGGGATGATGAGGAGGAGGGCGGGGGAGGGAGGAGAGGATGAGGAGGAGGGAGGCGGGAGGAGGGACGAGGAGCAGGCGGAGGAGGAGGAAAACGAGGACGAGGAGGGGCAGAAAGGGAGGAGCAGAATGAGGGGGAGCAGAAGGAGGAGGAGGAGGGGCCAGGGAGGAAGAGGAGGTCCGCCGCCCCCTGTGGCCCAAAGACGTGCCCCTCCGCCCCCCAGCGCTCTCGGGCGGTGCGCGGGTCCAGACCTCCGACCTCGCGATATTTTTGCCGCGGGGTGTCTTCCTATGTTGAAGTCGGGCATGCCCCTTCACAGGATGGGTACCCAAGAATAGTATGAAAGTCTGGTGGCGGGCGATCATGCGTGCTCCCTTGTCCATTGCCGATTGGTTGTTTCTTTCTGGTTCTTATTTCTGTACTACATAAAATCCGGCTCTAGGAGGACATGCCCGACCTCACCCGATCCGTCTTGACCCCACTGGCGGAGGCCAGGCTTTCGGTGCTCGGCCCACCCGCCCAGGGCGATTCGGGCATCACACGGAGGGCCCTCGGCTCGGCTCGGCTGCAGGAGGGCACCGCGAGGCCAGAAGGCGTCCGGGCGGCCGACGAGGACGGCCCGCCGAACTCGAAAGCCGTGGTTTCTGCTCGCGACGTCGAGGGCGTCTGGGCGAAGGGGAACGGGCGGCCGCGGGCCATCGATGGCTGCGCAGGCCGCCGCGCCGCAGGTCGGGGGCGGCCATGACGACCCCCACCCAAGGGAGGAAAGAGTGCCTACGCTGCTGCCCGTGGTGGGCCTGTTTTCCACCACCACCACCACCACCACAATAAGCTGGAGGGGAGAAGGAGGTGGAGGATGAGGAGGAGGAAGCGGAGGAGGAGGGCCCCCTCCCCCTCCTACTTATGGTAGTGGTGGTGGAAAACAAACCACTCAACCCATCTTCGGGTTCGCCTTCCTGGGCCTCTTGGGGCGCCGGCAGCGACGGCGACGATCGGACCGAGGGAAGAAACACACGAACCACGACCGAGGTGGCGCGGGGTCTTGCCTGCGCTGGTCTTGGTCATGGTCCATCCTGGCCGTCGCTTCGCGACGACGGGCGGAGAATCGACCAAAGGCTATCGGTACTTCAGCCACGCGCAGAGCGGGGTCGAGGGAGGGGGGAGGCCTCTTAGAGGCACCCTGCTCCTTAGAAGGCACGGGCCTCATCTACAGAGACGTAAAGCATGCGCCTTCGAAAAACAGTTTCCTTCTTGGAAGCTCTCCACCCTTCCCCTACCCCCTTCTGCGCGCCGTCAATGCAGTGCCGTTTTAATACATGCTCCGCGTGCGGATCATGTATTAAAAATGTAGGGACTCAGTATTAAACACAACGATGAGTTCATGCATCAGTTTATTCATACATTAAGCATGTCTTAAAAATCATTGTTTTCAAACAAATTGTATGTATAAAACAACTGCCCTGTACCATTGCTTCGCCTTCGCCTCTTTGGGAAGGCTTTCGCCGCCACCGCCAGACTCGCCATGAGGTTCTGGCGAGAGGGCGCCCCGGGGAGAGGTCTGGTGAGTAGCAGCATTTGTGCTGTTCCCCCCACGTGCAGCGAGCAGATCGGGTCCGTCCCTGGCCTTCCAGGAGGGCTAAAACATAAGAGCCTTGACATCTAAAGTTTGGAAGAAAGAGAACTCACAGGAGGAAAGGGAACTGCTACCGCTGTGCTCTTCCCGCGCAAATCGCCTGCTTGGGCCTCCTGGGAGACCCTCGTCGCCACCGCTGGATTCACTTTGAAATTCTGGTCAGAGCGCACCAAGGGGGAGTCAGGAGGGGAAAAACACACAGACACCACTCATCGTCGACTCCCAGGAAAATGCGGAGAAATATGGGAAGTGGGGGGGAAGACGAACACCCAGAAAATTTGGGAAAAGATGGGGAATCGCTTTACTTGTGTCTATTTATTTGTATGTTCCAGGGCCCCTTCAGAGAGGTCTGCGGTGTAGCGGTATCAGTACTTTTTGGTTTCCCACGGAGCGCTCCGAGACGGCCACGGCGGCCGACGCACCTCCCAGACCCGCGGGGTCTCGGAGATCCCCGAGGTTGTCCCAAGCCGATGCTGTCCCGGTCCTCGCTGGTAATGCTGTGGGTTGCGCACGGACAGCCTCCTCCTCCTCCTCTTTCTCCTCCTCCTCTCTCCTCCTCTTCCTCCTCCACCTCCTCCTCCTCTCTCCTCCTCCTCCTCCTCCTCCTCCTCCTCCTCCTCCTCCTCCTCCTCCTCCTCCTCCTCCTCCTCTTTCTTCTTCTCCTCCTCCTCCTCCTCCTCCTCGTCCTCCTCTTCCTCCTCCTCATCCTCCTCCTCCTCTTTCTTCTCCTCCTCCTCCTCCTTCTGGCTGGCCTCAAGAGGCCCCCCGAATGGCCTGGGGCGGTGTCTCAACACCCTAAACCTGGGGCGAGGCGCGCCCCAGAGGCGTCGCCGGAGGCGGCGCCAGGGTGGTGAGACCGCCCCGGACTCGTCGGGGGCCTGTCGAGGCCAGCCCGGTTTTCCAGGGGAGGGTCCCTAATTATCCCTAAGCGCAACCCGAAGCCTCCCCAGGACCAGATCCGATTCTATGCCCCTCCTCGCTGGCGGAGAACAAGTCCGTATCCACAGCCTCGCTGGCCGCGAACCCGCAAATGTGGGGCGTTTCGCCGGAACGCATCCGTGCCACCGCGTATTCTCGAGATCGCGCTCCAGAATCCAGACCGCGAGAGCGTGGATATGGATACGTTCATCGCTCGTAAGATCTTCATCTCCTGCAGGGATCAAGTTGACCCAAAAGGGGGTACAGCGACAAGGGGGTGGTGCAATAGATTTGATGTAATAGATTTGTGGGGGTGCAATACATGTGGGGCGCGCAGTACACTCCGGGGCGCAGATGTATTGCTGGATTCTCGCGTGCAATGCACCACTTGCAGTCCAACGCAGCACACTTCTCCAGCGCAGTACAGGTGCAATCCACCTGCCCCCAGTCCATTGCACCAGCCCCTTGCAGCTGGCCCCCCTCTTCTTGGCATCGCTCGGACGTGTGCAGTTTTCCTTCGGCGAGGGCCATCGAGGAGCATCCTTGATCATTTGACGAAGCCGGGAACAAAAAAACACAGGGAATGGACGTCCGAGCGAGGGCGAGTCTTGGGCCAGCCGCGAGGGCGGCCTCGGCTTGCCACGGGGGGCCCTCGTGGAGGCCGCGCCCGAGCAGGGCCTGCCCCTGCCGCGGCCGGGCGGCGTGCCGGGGAAAGCGGAGCACGGCCGCCGGGGGCACGCGGAGCAGGGGCGGAAGGCCCGCCATCGAGCGGCAGAGCTCGTGCCGCTCTCAGAGGGGACCCTAATAATAATAATAATGATAATAATAGTAATAGTAATAATAATAATACTAATAATAATAGTAATAATAATACTAGTAATCGTAATAATAATACGAAGAAGACATATCATTATTATTCTTATTATTTGTCTTGTTCTTGTTCTTATTTGGGGAGGGTCGGGGGTGGACAGACCTCCTGCCCTGACACGTCGATAAGCGAATTGGCCGTTCTCGGTTCGCGAGAGGGCGTCGCGGCCGTCCCTTTGCGGGGCCAGGTCCGTCGGTTTCGGTCCCAGGCCGTTTTCACTAAAGGGAGGTTTGCTAAAGGGAGGTTTGTCCACCGCCGAAAGGGGATTGTTGAGACTGGCGATGCCGATCTCTCAAGTCCGCTCGGCTTCGCCCACAGGGTCGCCGCACGTCGCCGTCACTCGCACGTCCCGACGTCGGTCTGAGATGCAACGCCGCGGTCTCAGGAGTCCCTGTCGCGGGCGTCCCTTCAGGAAACGTGTCAAAAGCGGTCTTTTCGGGACGATCGCAGATGGACAGGATTCGCTGTGGCGTCGCCGCGGGCCTTGGCCACTTACGACTCGGAGGTTGATAGGCTTCATACCCTGACACGTCGATCAGCGAATTGGCCTTTTTCGGTTTGCGAAAGGGCGTCGCGGCCGTCACTTTTGCGGGTCCTGGTCCGTTGGTTTCGGTCCTAGGGTGGTTTGCTGAAGGGAGGCTTGTCCACCGCCGGAAGACAGAAAGCCTGCCTGCCCAACAGCGGCAGCCGTCGGTTTAGGACGGCCTTTGAACTCGGGCACCGTGCCCATTTCTTCCGTACCCACCGCGCGCATCCGGAGCCCTGAGGGAATCGGATAGCAAAGGAACCACATGGGGACACAACCGTCCGGAGCTCCGCGCGGATCTCTCGTGTCGGCGCAGGTCCCTCCTCTTGGCGTCGGGGAGCCGTTCCGACGCACCCCCGTCGAGGACGGACGACCCCCCCCCTGATATATGCCGGGCTGGGGCCCCGTATCGCGCCCCGCCGAGGAGGAGGAGGAGGAGGAGGAGGACGAGGAGGAGCAGGAGGAGCAGGAGGAGCAGGAGGAGCAGGAGGAGCAGGAGGAGGAGGAGCAGGAGGAGGAGGGCCCGAAGCACGTGTAATGTCGGGGTCGTCGGGGTTGCCATGCCCCACAGGCAGCTTCGCCGGGGCTCGGACGTGTCCCGGCTTCGCTGGGGTGGCGTTTTCCAAGGATGCCCGAGGCCGTTCCTTGTGGGGGGCCCACGGAGCCCGAAGGAGGGCCCGACAAGCAACACCCCCCGCAGAGTAGAAGGTGACAGGGTTGGTCAGGCCAGCGACGACGGCGACGGCGACGGCGACGACGACGAGGACGAGGACGGGGACGACGAGGACGACGACGACGACGATGACGACGACCGCGACGACGACGTCGACGACATGGGGCGACGACTACGACTACGATGGGGACGACGACGACGACGACGACGACGACAGGGGACGACGTCGACGACGACGACAACGACAGGGGACGACGGCGACGACGTCGTTGACGACAGGGGGCGACGACGCGGACGACGACGAGGGCCTGAGGGAGGAGGGCAGGGATGACCAGGATGGGGTTCCCGGACATCCCACGTCGTCATATTTTGTCGTGCCAGGGGCCTTTCTGGGCTCATTCCTGGCCCATGTGCGACTGGGGACTGGACGCCATGCGCCGTATGCCTGCGCACTGCGTGAACACAGGGCCCTCCTCGACCCTGAAGGCCGCCAGAAGATGGCCCAGGAGGAGGCCTGGCAAGCAGTGCCCACACGTAGGCCGCCTGCGCCGCGACACGACGCGGCCTGCGCGCTCGGGTGTGGCCTCCCCGCGCGCCTGCCGGACGCCGCGCACCCGAGGCCGGTCGCTCTTGCGTCACTTTGAGGGCCACTCGTTGCGCGCAGCCGTAAGAGGTCGGTAGCCTTGAGGCGCTCGTGGCCGCGAGGCGGCCGCGCGTAAGTTAGGGTCCCTCTTGCGCGCAGCCATAAGAATCGGGGGTGGACAGACCTCCTACCCTGACACGTCGGTTCAGGAATTGGCCGTTTTCGGTTCGCGGGAGGGCGCCGCGGCCGTCATTTTTGCGGGTCCGGGTCCGTCGGTTTCGGCCCCAGGCCGTTTTCACTAAGGGGAGGTGTACTAAAGGGAGGTTTGTCCTCCGCCGAGAGAAGGCGCGGAGCAGGGGCATGCACCTCACCGCGCCGCCGGGCTGGGTGCCGGAGGGTCGGCGGAAGAAGGGCAAGAAGCAGCGCGCGCTGGAGAAGGAGCTTTCGTGCGGGGCGCCGCCTGAAGAGGGTGTCCGCGGTTCGGTCGCTTCGCTTGCGGTTGCGGTTGCGGTCGGGGCTCGGTTCGGTCGGCTGTCGTGTCGTGGCTGCGCTGCGGCGCCCTTCCAGGCTGCTCGCGCCCCGTCGCCTTCGGCCGCCTTGCGGTTTCGCCGTCGGCTCGGTCGGTTTTCGGTGTTGCCGTCCCGCCGATGTCCACGATGGAGGCTTCGAGGAGGAGGGGGCACAGATCCCGCTACCCCTGATATTGGCGCATCGTGAAGCGCTGCACGTCGGGGGCGGAAAAGAGGGGGGTGCTGACCAGGGGGGGGTGGATATCGTGGCGGGGGCCATGATTTTTCCCCAGATTTCGTGGCGCCTCTTCTTGTGTCATTGCGTCCCTGGCCCCCCCGCTGGGCCGCGCACATGCCGCCGGTCATGAGTTGCACCCCCCCCCCTCTTGGACACCCCCCTCGTGGCCGCTCCCGATGCACGGCAGAGGGGTTTGGACAAATGTTGGCTTTGGGTGGCCCTTACATTCCCTGGGACCGTCCAAAGCACCTCGGGAGAACGAGTCGGCCTCAGGGATCGGGTCCAGACATCGGGGGTTCCACGGTGCATTGGCATGTTCGTGTCCTGTCGGTGCGGCGGCGGCACCAGCGCGGGCGTTCAAGGTTGAACGCCGCCAGTGGCCCCGTGTCGGCTGGTATCGCACGACTTGTGCTATCGGAAAACCACGATATTCGAAGGCTTCACGAACCTTGTGGTGTCAGGAGCCGACGCGATAGCCGTCGCGAGACGGACCTGCCGTACCCTTATGTACCCTTCCTTCGTCACCAGGCTGGATTCGCCTTGGAATCCTAGTCAAAGCGCACCTCAGGGGTGTTCCTGGGAAGTATTGGTCTCTGTCACACACTTCCCAGACGAGCCATTCTACACCCCCCGAAACCAGACATGAAAGAGCTGCCTTTTGCCCAGACTCCCCAGAACCCTCCAAGACAGCTCAAACCAGCCCCCCACCCTCCCCCAAATCAGACCCCCCTTTCGTCCAACCTGAGGTCCTCTAAGGGCCCTGCAAGAGCAGCCTGAACTCTTTCTTGACCTCCCCCCCGCCCCTTACATGCGCCAACGCCAGCCCTGGCCTTTTCCCATGCTGGGCCCCAGCGCCCCATTCACGAGGCCAAGGGGGGCCCCATGGGGCTCCGAGACGGAGCGGCCAGCTCGGGGCGCCCTGGGCCAAGGGGGCGCTTCTGGCAACGCCCGGCGGGAGACGCAGGAGGGGGAGGAGGAGGAGGAGGAGGAGGAGGAGGAGGAGGAGGAGGAGGAGGAGGGGCTCCCCAGACTCCAGGGCCTCCGTCCTCGAGCCTCGGCCCTCGTCGTCGTCGGGGGTGGCGTGGGCGCCGAGCCCCGGGCCCAGGGCTGCTGGGCCGGGCCAGGGCCGGCGTCGTGGTGTCCCCTGGCATCGCTCGGACGTGTGCATTCTTCCTTCGGCGAGGATCGTCGAGGAGCATCCCTGATCATCTGGCGAAACAGCCACGCACGAAACTGGAAAAAGCACAGGGAATGGACGTCCGAGCGATGGCCAGGTCCAGTGCCCCCCTCCCCCCCTCCCGGCACGAGCGAAATGGGTATGGACAGGGCGAGGCGTCCTGGCTCGCCTATAGGCCCGCCAAAGACCAAATCATGCTTTAAGAACCTTTTGTGGTTTGCTTGAAAAGCTCTTAGTTCTGACTGAGTCTGTCTTGTTTTAGCACATCGGGTTTATGCTCGAAGAGCATTGTTTCTGTGTTTAGAACATTCTTGGGTTCTCAGATCATTTCGTGGTGGTCCTGTAGGAATGCCGGGACTGTCGGTCCCTGCTCAAAGGATGGGTCCGATGCCCAACAGCAGTTCTTGTTCTTTTCGAACAGCGCTCGCTGCCCGCACCACCGCGGGCGTTGTCCACTTTGGACAGACGGCCGCCCGCTCAACGGCGGCCGCCGTCGATGTTGGACAACATTTGTTGTTGGGCATCGTACGGTAGGTTCGCGTCGTGTCGACTGGCGGCGACCCCGCCGGCGGCGTTAAATCTTGAACGACCCAGAATCGGTCGATGCTGACCGAGCTGACGCTTCTGGAGCGCCCGGTCGCCCAAGGTTGAAAGATCCCCGCGATTTCAGAAACCAACACTGGGGTCGACTGGACTCGACACGAACCTGCCGACTCCTTTTTTCCGCAATCAGTGCTTGCTCTGAAGGGGACCTAGCGGAAATTTAAAGATTTGGCGAAAGTATCCCGCCAATTTTGGTGGCCGGCTGGGTTCCCGGGTTCCTGTTTCAGGGTTCCCAGGTTCCTGGTCATTGGTCCCGGGCCGAGTTCCCGGTCGATCTCCTCATCGATCTTTTGATCGATCCCATTTTAAACCATCCATGGATTGGGTTTGTTCCTCTGGTGTAATCAGAATCTGACTTTGGGGATAGGATTGGCATGCTGGCTGCAGGGGCAACTTCCGGGGGAGGGAGTGGAGGGAGTGGAGGGCGGGGGGGTCGGGGGCGGAAAAGAGGGGGGTGCTGACCAGGGGAGGGTGGATATCGTGGCGGGGGCCATGACATCTCCCCAGATTTCGTGGCGCCTCTTCTTATGTCATTGCGTCCCTGGCCCCCCCGCTGGGCCGCGCACATGCCGCCGGTCATGAGTTGCACCCCCCCCTCTTGGACACCCCCCTCGTGGCCGCTCACGCGGGGGGAGGGGCCGAACTCCGAGGGTGGCGGTTCTTTGGCAGCGCCTCGCCCTCTCCGGGCTGCTGGGATGGCCCTGCGCTGCCGTGGTTGGACTCGCCCGTGGAGCGGAGGAGTGGAACCGAAGGGGGGGGGGGGAGTGGAGGGAGTGGGAGGGGGGGGGTGCTGGGAGTGGAGGGAGGGAGGGAGAGGAGGGTGATATTCTCTGGGGTGATTTTCCGTACCCCTTTCGGGGGCGTCCAAGCCAGAGGATGGAGGATCGAGGGAGGAGCGCCAGGATCCCGACGTCCCAGTTCCAGTCGAGGCTGTTAAACCAGGTCGGATAGGTCTGTAGGACCGGAGGGCTAGAGAAGAAGAGTAAGAAGCAGGAGGAGAAAGAGGAGGAGACTAATACAATTCATGGGAATGACCATGCGTATACTTAGACGAAGATGCATAATCATAAGGATAACCATTCTAAGAAGATGATTAGTAATACTGATAATGCTAATAATGATACTGCTGATAATGATACACTTATCTAAAACAATATCAAGAATAATAAGATAAAAGGTCAGGGGGGCCTCGTGATGGCTGCTCTGGAAGCCGTCTGGGCCACCACGAGAATCTCGGGGGCACCTTGGGCCAGAGGCTCTTCTGGCAACACCCGAGAGGAGATGGCCGGGAGATTGCCGACCTCTCCCCGGCAGCTCGCGTTTCCGCAGACCTTCGCGCAGACCGTGCGGTTCACCGCGCCGAGGCCCTCGCTTCGCGAAGGGGTCCCGAAGGAGAATCCGGCCGTATGGTTTTCATGATTCCCTTCTCCTCCGCCTCCTCTTCCTCCTCCTCCTCCTCCCTCCTCCTCCTCCTCTTCCTCCTCCTCCTCCTCCTCCTCCTCCTCCTCCTCCTCCTCTTCCTCCTCCTCCAATCTCGCGAAATCCGTAGCCATTTTGGCTCAAGCGGTCGCACGGCGCCGTCGTTTCGCCGCCCCTTCGTTCCGCGTTGGGGCCGCTGCGGGATGGAGGCGCCTAGAGGGGCTGCCGACGCCGCTGTCCTCGTCGAGGCGGCGGTGCGGGCAGCCGTGCAGGGTCGCGCGCCGCGCCGCACGGTGGCGGCAGTGGCGCGGTCGGCACTTTCGGCAGCGCTCTTCGCGCTCCGAGAGGCGCCGCCCGCCGCCGCGCCGCCGCCCGCGGCCGCAGCCGCGGCCCCTGCCACGGAAGGCGCTGCCGCTCCCAAGGCCCGCTCGGCGGCCCGGGTGGAGCGGCGGCGACGACGCCGCCAGCGCCTCGCGGCGCGGCGGCGGGACGGCGCTGGCGTTGAAGCTGCGCCTGCTGGCGAGCGCGCGGCCCTGGCCGCGCTGCCGCCGCAGGCTGAGGCCGATGCTGACGGCGACGGCGCGATCGACGACGACCGCTGGGCCGACGGCCTCGTGCGGGGAGGGGCGGCTGCCGCTGCTGCTGCTGCGCCGCCTGCCGCGGGCTCGGACGCGGAGCTGCGCGACCTGGTCGCGCGCTTCTGCGCCGTGAAGGGTGGCGTGGACCCCGACGCCGAGGTCGTGGCCGCCCTGATGACGGTCGGCGCGGACGAGCTTCGCAGGCAGATTGCGGCGGCGTCGTCGTCGCTGGGGAGCTCGCCGGCTGGACGTGGTCCTCCTGGCGCTCCTCAGCCCGGTGCGCGGCGGGGGAAGCAGCGGGAGGGTCGGCGATGATGCCTTGCCCCGCGCAGGGGCGAGGCCGCCTGCCCCTCCCCCCCCGCCGTGCCATGGACTTCGCCTTTGGCGTGGTCCTCTAAGTGTTCTCCTGAGGCTTAGAGTGGTGTCTGTGAGCAGACGCTTTCTCTTCAGTGCTTCCCTGCTTCCCTCCAATCTCGCGAAAACACACACGAAGCCGACACATGCGCGGGAAATGGACGTCCGAGCGATGGCAAGTCCTGTGATCCAGGGGCATCGCTCGGACGTGTGGATTGTTTTCTCGGCGAGGACCCTCGAGGAGAATCCCTGATCATTGCGCGAGAAGACAGGCACGAAACAGACAAATGCACGGGGAATGGACGTCCGAGCGATGGCGAGGGAAAGGATGGTGGCCGAGCACGGCGGATAGTGCAACGAAACACCACAACCACAACCGTTCTGCCTGAGATCCTCCACGACCACCGTCAGATAGTCCGCCGTCGTCCATCGCCACCAGCAGCTCACAATGATGAGGACAAGGAGGATCCGCCGGATCTCAGAGATTTCCGAATTATCCCTGTCCGATGTTGTTCTTGTCTATCCAGCAAGTACATGCCATAGCGCTCGCTGGATGTTTTTTTTTGTCCGCTGACTTCTTGAGTCGGGGTGGGGACGTGGGATCAACTTGAGTTTCGCTCCACGTGGGTTTCATTTGTCCTTCCGGCAGGTGTCGCCGACCTACTTCGCAGGATGAGGAGGAGCAGCAGCAGTAGGAGGAGAAGGGGGTTTTGAAGGAGCAGGAGGAAAGAGGAACAAAAAGTGGCATAAACATAAAAATTCGGAGGTCCGCGCGGATTTCTCGGATCGGCGCTGGGCCCCGCCGGCGGCGCCTCCGGCGCCGCCCTTGGCGCGCTCCGCGCGCCAGGGAGGGGGGTCCAGCGCCGATCCGAGAAATCCGCGCGGACCTCCGAGTTTTTATGTTTATGCCACTTTTTGTTCCCCCAGGAGAAGGAAGAGCAGCAGTAGGAGGAAAAGGATTTTTGCCGCTGCGCTGCTCTGCCCCGATTCTTCGCGGTCCTCCTGGCAGCCATCCACGCAGCCGTCGAGCACGGCATTTGAAACAGACGAGCACCGCACAGGACTGGTCATACATGCGGTGCTGCCCGCACCGAGATGTGGGCCACACGACAGGGCCTTGCCCCCGGTGGCCAGGACCAGGATACGTCCGAGCGATGGCAAGCCCTGTGATCAGGGGGCGGCCTGTCCGACGCCCCTGCGGGCAGCACGCCGACCCCTTCTGTGACGGTCCCCGCCTCCCCCTCCTCCTCCTCCTCCTCCTCCTCCTCCTCCTCCTCCTCCTCTTCATCTTCCCCCTCCTCTTCCTCCTCCTCCTCCTCCTCCTCCTCCTCCTCCTCCTTTTCCTCTTCCTCTTCCTTTTCCTCCTCCTCCCCCTCCCCCGTTGCTCGACCAACCTATCGGAACTCGAGCGAGGCATAGAAGGGGGCGATTCTCCACAGAGGAGACGAAGACGCGCTGACAGTCAGAGGAGGAAGAGGTTCCCATGTCTCTACCCTTCCCTCGTGTCCCCCCTGTTGGCCCCCCATGGGAATGCCTCGTCGCCACCGCTGGATTCGCTCAGAGTTCCTGGTCAGAACGCGCCTCAGCAGAGGTCCCGGGAGTAGCAGTCTCGGTACCTTTTGGCTTCCCCAGTTGCGGAAAGGGGCTCGCCACTGAGGAGGTCGGTTAGGCCGCGCCGGAGAGCTATCCAGGTGTCCGATCCGTGCCCAGCTGTGGCGACGAAGCCTCGAACATCAAAGGACGATAGCGCTGGGAGGCGTCCGAAAGACCCGGGCCTCAGAATAGACCTTTGGGGCCTGTCCCACAGGATGTGCTTTGGCCAGAGGTTCGAGGGCGGGTGCAGCCGTGGCCACGAGAGGCTCATCCAGAGGTGCACCACATTCCCAGTACGTGCGCCCACAGCTCTGACTCCTCTAATTCCGCGGGTGGGGGTGGTGGTCCGGGACCCCCGACGTCGCGATTCTTCCGAAGAGTGGAGCCCCAGAAAGCTCGAGTCGATCCCCATGACCGGCTTCTCATCCTGGGTTGTCTCTTGACTGCCGCCCCAGAGTCCCCTTGAGGGCCCCTAGAGACAGAAAGTGTCGGGGGCGGCCAAGAGGGGGGTGATGACTAGGGGGGTGGATATCACGGCGGGGGCCATGATCTCTCCTCAGATTTCATGGCGCCACTTCTTCTTTCATGACGTCCCTGGCCTCCGCCCTTGGCGGCGCACATGCCGCCAGCCATGATCTGCGACCCCCCCTGTTGGACGCCCCCCTCTTTGCCGGCCCCGAGCCTCCCAGGGGGCCCCCTCGCGTCTTATGATTCTAGGCCTCGTAGATGGGGTCGGAGTAGATGGGGTCGGAGGATCGCGCCGCATCGTCGATGCATCGGCGATGCATCGGCGATGCATCGATGCATCGGCGATGCGCGATGCATCGCGCCCCCCTCTTGGCCGCCCCCGAAAGTGGCCGAGACCGTTCCGTCGTCGGGGGGCCCCGTGCGTGCGGGCCATGGCTCGGGTCTCCGGCCGCCCCGGGCGGTCCGTGCACCCCCCTCCTCCTCCTCCTCCTCCTCCTCCTCCGCCGCCTCCTCCTCCTCCTCCTCCTCCTCCTCCTCCTCCTCCTCCTCCTCCTCCCCCTCCTCCTCCTCCCCCTTCTCCTCCTCCTCCTCCTCCTCCTCCTCCTTCTCCTCCTCCCCCAGAACGCCCTCGGCGAGGCGCGGCAACGGGAGGACACCCCGAGGCTGGAAGCTCTCCCAGGAACCAGCGGGGCTCTCCGAAGGCCTCGAACGACGACGCGACGACCTCGCAGGACGACAGCACGACGACGGGGCCATCATCCTCCAGTCGGCGGCGAGCCTGGGGGGGAAGGGAGAGGGAGAAGGCCATCTCAGAGGGCTCGGAAGTCCCCCGCCCTTTCTGAGAAATTTCTCTGAGCCTGCAGAGAAGACCTCTCGGAAGGCGCGAGGGCTTCTAAGAAGTGCCGCCGCCTTCTGAGAAGGCCTCCTCCTCCTCGCTTCCCCCCCTCACTTCGGGTGTTGCTAGAAGTGCCCCTGGCCCAAGATGCCCCTAGCTTGTCGCTCAACTTTGGAGCCACTGGGGCCCTCTGGGCCTCGTGAGGGGTGCTCCCTCTGGAGGCCGCCTGGGCCATCCCGATGATCCTGCGGGCACCTTGGGCCAGGGGCACCTCCCTCCTCCACGGTCCTACAGATGGCAGCGGTGGGGGGCAACTTGCCCAGCACGGGTCGGCCGCCCCCACCCCACAGCGCCGGAGCCTGCACCGCCGCCGAGCCAGGCCGTGGGAGTGGGCGGACGCGTACGGCGACGGCCAGGCCCCGGAGTTCCTCTGCGACAGCTGGGGGGCGGCGACGCTCGCCGAGGCGGCGGCGGCCGTCGGGCCTGGCGGCTTCACGTCGCGGCGCAGGGACCTTGGCCACCAGTCGACCAGTCCTCCCTCCCTCCCTCCCTCCCTCCCCCTCCCTCCCTCCCCCTCCCTCCCTCCCCCTCCCTCCCTCCCTCCCTCCCTCCCTCCGGCACGAGCGAAATGGGTACGGAAAGAATGGGCACAATGCCCAACAGCAGTGCCTGTTCATCCTGAACAGGGCTCGCTGTCGGTGTCGCCGCGGCCTGCGTCCCTTTGAGACAGAAAGCCGCCTGCCCAACAGTGGCCGCTGCTGGTTTGGGGCAGCATTTGCTGTTGGGCATTGTACCCATTCGTTCCGTGCTCATCTCGGGCGTACAGAGACTGCACGCAATTAGGAGTGAGCGACTCTTCGCCAGAGTGACCCTCGGTGCGGGCCCCTGGGGGTGGCCCCCCCGATCGCCGTCTTGCGCGCATGGGTCTGGCCCCCCCCCCGCCCCCCCCGCCCCCCGCGGCTCCCCGAACGCCGCGCGCCAAAGATCTCTCTATATTGCCCAGGGTACCTCTTGCGCGAATCTGAGCGAGCTCCCGGGGGGGGGACCTGGCCCAGGCACCCGGAGACTTGAAGCACGGCATGAACGTACATTTGCAGAGCTCCGCGACGATGTCTTGGATCGGAGCCGGATCCCCCCCGCGGCGCCTGCGGCGCCGCCCCTGGCGCGCCAGGAAGCGGGTTCGGCGCAGATCCAAGAGATCCGAGCGGAGCTCCGAAAGTGTGTCCCTCTAAACCTCCCGCGTCCAGAACCAGTCCAGGCGGAGGCCCGTGGCCGATGTTCACCTCTCGGGGCCGTTCTTGGGCTCATGTCAGCCACGCGCAGAGGGGGGTGAGGGGAGGGGGGAGGGGTTCTTAGAAGCACCCCTGCCTGCTTCTTAGAAGGCGCGGGCCCTGGGTATAAATGTGAGGCCGGCGCCCTCTAAGAAGCAGCCTCCTCCTAAGAAGCCCTCCCCCCTCCCCTCACCCCCTTGTGCGCGCCACCAATCGTGTGGCCGTCAGGAGACGGCTCGGGACGAGAAGCCGGATCCTCCAAAACTCCCGCGTCCAGAGCAATTCCAGGCGGAGGCCCGTCGCCGATGTTTTTACCTCTCGGGGCCGTTCGTGGGCTCACGTGGCCGTCAGGAGACGGCTCGGGGCGAGGAGCCGGATCCGGGGAAGGGGCCGGGGCTCTCAGGGGGGCCCCGCGCAGCACAGGAGCGGCACCTCGGAGGAGCTGGAGCCCCAGCGTTCTCGGGCACGGTCGCGCAGGCATGGGCCCTGGGGCCCTGCCTGCCGCAGGCAGCCGGGGTTACGTCGGGCGTGTTCCCCTACAGGGGGATCTTCGACGAAAGTAAGAAATACCCCCAAAGTAGACCAAAAATAGTCCAAAAATAATACGGGGACTGATTTTTGAGTATGTTTTGACTTTTTTGTTGCACTTTTGGTTTTTTTTTTTCTCTTCCTTTTTCGTCGAAAATCCCCCTGTAGGGGGACAGGCTCGACTTAGAGCTGGGGCCGAGGGCTCTGGCTCTGGCTTCTCGCGGCATCCTGGTCGCCGTCTTGCGGTCGCCCAGGGCTTTGGGGAGAGGGCACCGGGCACGCCGGCATAGGACGACTCGGGGCGCTCGTCCGCAGCCCTCGGGAGCCTCGCCCGCACGCGAAAGCCGTGGCCTGAGCCCACGCAGTCCGGCAGAATCCCACTCGTTGTAAGTCGGGCGTGTCCCTCTACAAGGGGAATATTCGAAAATAGTAAAAGAAATCGTGGGCCCAGACTATTTTGATGACTATTTTTGAGCATTTGGGGGGCATGTTTTGCGTTTTTTGTTTGTTTTTTGTTTTTTCCCCCCCAAAAAAATCCCCCTGTAGGTGGACACGCCCCGACTTAACACTTGTTTCGGCTTTCCCCTGGCCTCAGCATTCTCGCTCGATCCGGCTTCGCGGCCCCCGAATCGGGCCCGTAACAGCCCTGGATCGTGATCACGAGGCCTCCCAGGAGTTGGCTTCGAAGGGGTGAGCTCGTTACGCGGAGTCCCAGGGTGCCTGGGACCCGGTTCTTTCAGTTGAGGAGGAAAGACGATGGCCATGAACAAGATGCCGCGGGGTGTTGTCGACGTCGATCTTGGTCATGGTCCATGCTGGCCGTCGCAGATTCGCGAGGATGATCCAAGATTGGACAGTGACGATGACCGAGGTCGACACCGACTTTTCCACGTTCAGTCTTCCCAGACGTCTGGCGCTCCGATTTTTTCGATGGGTGGCCCCTGGAGGTCCGGACTACTTCCCAGCTGTTTCATTCCGAACCGTTTTTTGACGGTCCCGGAGCCCGTGGAGGGCTACCAGAAGCTGACAATCGTCCAGAGTTGGCCGCTCACATTTTGTTGCCAGAACCACCCGAACCCACCACCCCAACCCAATGCGAAGGCCCCACTTTGCCCTCCATCCCCAGTTGGGGGGGCGTCGGGGAACACTGGGAAACCACACATGCCCCCCCCCCCAACAAAAACACGAAATCTGGGTCTTCGGGTTGGGTTGGGGTGGCCTGGTAGGTAGGCAGTCTCTGTCATGACGGGCAAAGGTTCCACCACCGCTGCCACAGCCAGGACGGGGGAGAGGGGAGGACGGGGGGAGGCTCTCCCAGGAGGCGCGCAGAGATCGGGCCCCGTGCTGCCTGCTGCCGCCCTGCCCGAGCTGGAAGCATCGATCGAGCGAGGGCACCGGCCAGCACGGCTGCCAGGACCGGATCGCGCGCACCACCACACTGATCCAGCGACGGGCCGCCAGACTGAAGTCGGGCGGTCCATAAATCGTCTGGGGATTTTTTTTTAGTTTTTGGAACCTTTTTGGAACATGTTTGGTGTATTTTTGGGGTATTTCTTTTTTTGTCGACAATCCCCTTGTAGGGGGACAGGCCCGACTTAACGCCAGACGCTCTGCACCTCGTCCACCTTGCAGGCACGCCGTCGCCCCACTCGCCGAGAGCCGCAAAGAGGGGGGGCAGGGGCCTCCCTCTCCTGCCTGCTGGCGGCGGTGGTGGACCACCGGCCCATGATGTCGTGGTCCTCCTTTTTGTTCGACTGCGCGTAAGAGTGGCCCTTCGCCGTAGTGACCCCTGTCGGGGGTGGACAGACCTCCTACCCTGACACGTCGATTCAGGAATTGGCCGTTTTCGGTTCGCGAGAGGGCGTCGCGGCCGTCATGTTTGCAGGTCCAGGTCCGCGGGCTTCGGTCCCAGGCCGTTTTCACTAAGGGGGGGGGTTACTAAAGGGAGGTTTGTCCACCGCCGACCTTGGTGATGCAGTGCGATAGCAGCGGCTTTCGCGCCTGGTGTGATCCCCCAAAGGCCCCCCGTGGCCGCGTACTGAATTTAAGGTCCCTCTTGCCCAGGGTCACTCTTCCGTGTGGCCGAGCTTCCTCTCCCTCCCCTCAGGGCCCCTTTTCTGTGGCTCCTGGCACGAGAGGACTTCGAGGAGCGGGAGCGGAGGATCGGGCCCCCGCCGAGGGCTGCCGAGGAGCCCCGCGCGAGGGAGAAGCTCGGAGGCTCCCAGAGGGCTTCCTGGGAGGGGCGGGGAGTAGGGTCTCAGAGGAGGAGGAGGAGGAGGAGGAGGAGGAGGAGGAGGAGGCCCAGATACGAGCGCGTCGCTAGAGAGTCAGCTCGGAGGTTTTCCCTACTCTTCGGCCTCGGGGGCCCTGCCCTCGCCCACCCCTTGACCGCCAACAGAACGTCCGAGGATAAAGCGCCCGTCCCCCGGGAGAGGGTCGGGACCTCGTGAGGCCGCGTGTTGACAAGGTCAGTGCGTCGCACGTCTGGGCGAAGGCACCGATCTCGCTGCTCTATACCCCTGCCTCGTTGCCGCCTTCCGGAGCCTCCTGTGGGGGGGGGCCCTCGTCGCCACGGCTGGATGCGCCTCGAGGTCCTGGTCAGAGAGAGCACCTCATGGGAGGTCCGGGGGCAGCGGTATCGGTGCCTTCTGGTCTCACCCGGAGGCACGCTACCGGTGGGAGTCCGGCGGCGTGTTATTATGTCGTGTTGTTCGAAATTTGAAGTGTGGTGTCTCTGCGACGGTAGCACGCTGATGGGTTCCCCTCGGTGGCGTGCCATGGATATTGCTCTTGCTCCCCCAGCTATTGGAGATTCTGATTGCCGCGGCCAGACGCGGCTGGGAAGACCGTTCGCCCTCATATTGGCGCGTCGCATACAGATCGTTACTGCAGGAACTTCGTCGGTTCGGCTTCGTCCACCGGCCGCAGGGCTGTGAGACAACGGCTCAGGGTGAGAAGCCGGCATGTCAGCCCCGTGGAGGGGGGTCGAGATCCCCGGGGACCGACGTCACGAAACAGGTGCAGCGCCGGAGGCGAGGGCAGGATGGCGCTTCGGAGAGGCCCTCGGGCGTACGTGGTCTGAGCGGAGGTCCGGCAGGAGAGTTGCAGTTCTGGCTGCCTCGGCCGGGCGCGGCTGGGACAAACTGTCAGGAGGGTGTCCGGAGGAGACAGACGCCAGGGCCTCGCTCTCGAGCGGGCTCCCGCGGCTGGAGGGCCCAGGCAGCCGACGTGCGGCGTGGGTTCGTTCGCAGCGCTGCTCCCCAGAGGTCGGGCCCCCCTTCCGGGGGGCCCGCAGGCTCATCCGGGGCGCGTTGCTAGACGGTCCCGGGGCCCGGCAGTGGTGTCCGTGGAGGCGGAAGGTCGTGGCACAGTGTCCCGTCCAGGAGGCCAGGTGGCATCACCGAGCGCGTTCCGCTACTCGCAGAGTGCCTACTCGCAAACGTCGTAAAAAAACACACGTCTGCATCGATGCAATTTCTCGTAGATCCCCCGCGGGGGATCCAGAGCATTTGCGAGTAGTTACTCTGCGAGTAGTGGAACGCGCTCGTCTATGGAGGGGGGAACACCCAGGCACCGGGGCGGCGTGAGGGCATCCCTGAGGTTCTTCGACACTGCGAAAGCTTGCGCCATCGCGAAAATCTCGACCAGATCTCTATATAGGCCCCACGGGCACCAGCGCCCGTTGTGAGGACACCGCGACGCCCTCGATCGCCAGGCCTGCGTCGACCGCTCTCTCCTCGGCGCGGCCTGCCCCTGCCCTCGGCTCTCCCGGCTCAGGGTCCACGTCGATCCGATCGATCTGATTCTCGACATCGGCCCCAGCCGGCCCGGTTCGATTCGATTCGGTTCCGAGTTTCGGGCGATCCGACGCGGCCCGATGGCATCCTGCATGGCTCTGTTGCGCACCCTGGCGCAGCCGATCCGACTCGATGTCGATTCGGTGCCCGTGCGGCCCGGGACGATTAATTAACTACTGCGACGACGCCGACGCCGACGCCGACGATCTCGGCGACGCCGACGCCGACGCCGACGCCGACGCCGACGCCGACGCCGACGATCTCGGCGACGGCGACGGCGACGGCGACGGCGACGGCGACGGCGACGGTGACGACGACGACGACGGCGACGGCGACGGCGACGAAGGCGACGGCGACGACGGCGGCGACGACGACGACGCGTTCGGTGCGCGTTGCGATCCGAGCAGGTTCCCCGACTCGGTGGCGGTGGCCCGCGGGCCCTCGGCGCCCTCGCGGCCGTGGCGGGGCAGGGGGGCGGGGCCGGGAGCTCGGGGGTCGCCCCGGGAGAGGAAGAGCACGGGCACGGGCAGTCGTCGATGCCCACGGGGAGATCCACGAGCCATCGGCCCATCCCGCCACCGTGCCTGGGCTGTGGGTATGGAGCCTATTGCATGTTCGCTGGGGTCGCGTGGGGATCTCTTGGAGGTGATTCGTCTGGACGCGTCCGGGGGCGCTTCTGAGGCCTCTTAGGGGCCTCTTCTGGGTCTCTCGGGGGCCTCTTGGGTCGTCCTAGGCGCCTCAGGGGTGCGGGGTGTCGGCTCAGGGATAACCCCGCGTTGGCCCCCAGGACTCGGAGGAGGAGGAGGAGGAGGACAACGACGACGACGGCGACGACGACGACGGCGGCGACGCCGACGCCGACGCCGACGCCGCCGCCGACGCCGCCGCCGCCGCCGCCGACGACAGCGACGACGGTGGCGGCGACGACGACGACGACGACGAAGACGACGGGACGACGACGACGACGACGACGACGACGACGACGACGACGACGACGACGACGACGACCAGGACACGAGGACAAGCAAGCACGAGCATAAGCTCTCGGAGGCCGGCGCGGAGTTCTCGGTTGGGCGCGGGGACCCCCTCTTGAGCGCGCCTCTGGCGCACCGTCCCTGGAGCGCTGTGCACGCCGGGGGAGGGTTGCCCTCCGAGAGGTTGCAGTCGGGTCCCTGAAGAAGGAACCCTTTTCGTTGGGGAGGGGCTCCGCGTTCCGTAAGTGTTTCGCAGCTTGCCTCAGGCTTTCCTTGTGCTTTCGATCGGAAATCGAAGTTTGACTCATGGAAAAAAGGGGCCTCGTTCCTTATGTTGGGTTCCTTGGGTCAACGCCCCGACTGTATGATCATGCCGGCCTCTGCTCCTTCTCGGCCACGCGCACAGGCGGGGTCAGGGGGAGGGGGGAAGGCTTCTCAGGAGGCTGCTTCTTAGAAGGCACAGGCCTGCTCTATAGATGGAAACCCGACGCATAAGAAGCAGCCTCCTAAGAAGCCTTCCCCCTTCCCCCTACCCAGCTTGTGCGCGCCGCTAACTTACAGCAGGCGCATCAGAATTCTGCCTGCAAGCAGGTGCCCTACGGAGTCTTCTCATCCACCGATGGCGCGTTTCCAAACCCTCTAAAGATGGACGAAGGACGTGACACGCGATTTCTCACAGCGAGAATCCTCACCGTGTGGGCTTTTTTTTTCCCACCAAGGACTTCCAGAAGGAGCCTCACATGCATCGCAGATGGTGCATGCTTTTGGGATCCCGTCGGGAGCTCGCGGGGAGGCCACTCGGAGGCCTCCTGGAGGCAGCGTGGACGCCTCTCGGCTCCCAGAAGGAGCCTCACGTGCATCGCAGGTGGTGCACGCACTTGGTTGGGACCGCGTCCGGTGCGGCTGCCCGCGGCTGGAACCGCCGGACCGGGCGCTGGACGTGGGTGTCAAGCAGTGGCGAAGCGTCCTGGCGTGCCCACAGGCCTACCACACAATGTTCTGAGACCCTTTGTGTGGGCTGCACGTCATGTTCTCAGAACGTGTCTGGCCGATGTGGTATTGTTTTAACACGTCGGGCTCATGTTCTAAGAACATTGTTTCTGTCATTAGAACACTTGCGCGTTCTACGACCATGTCGTAGCAGGCCTATAGGAATGCCGGGACACGGTCGGTCCCTGCTCAAGGGCGGAGCCAGCCCGTCTGGCTAGCTGGCCAGCCTGGCTCGCTCGTCGCCGCGGGCATCCCACGTTGCCAGCAGCCCCGGGCTCTGCAGGCAGCCGCGCACGTGCCCGTATACAGTACCGTTTTTTCTACATGCTCTGCGTGCGGATCATGTATTAACAATGCAGGGATTTAGTATTACAAACAACGATGAGTTCATGCATACATTTATTCATAAATCAATCATGTATTAAAATCCAATATTTTTGGGAATCCGATGTATTATAAACTGCCCTGTAGTATCCATGAGCAGGAGCAGCACAGGAAGACACAAAATCATCGTCGATCCCCCGGACAAAAGTCTGGAGCGCAGGGGAAGTGGGGGGGGCGCCGAGCGTCCAGGCAAAAAGCATGGAGGAGACGGGGCATCCTGGGATCTGTGTCTACTTGCGTCTGTGTGCCCCTGGGCTTCGTCGTGCACAGTGGAGACCCATGCCAAGAAGCACCCTGCTTGCCTCCAGGGTGCCCTGGGCTTCTTGGGCTTCGATAGTTCTGCTATGGAAAGCGTGGCGCCCCCACACCAAACAATCGATGGACCTCCTCGGGGTGCAGGCTTGGGTTTCTTGTGGAAGGCTTCTTGTGGTCGAGCCCCTACTGTAGGGCACGCCATGGTCCGCCTGGCCGAGCCGCCCGTTGGCCAGGTGTGATGGGCCTGTTTTCCACCACCGCCACCAGTTGAATGGGGGGAAGGAGGAGGAGGAGGACGAAGAGAAGGAGGAGGAGGAGGAGGAGGAGGAGGAGGAGGAGGAGGAGGAGGAGGAGGGAGGGAGGGGCAGGGGGAGGGGGAGGACGAGGCCCCCCTCCCCCTCGAACTCCTGGTGGTGGTGGTGGTGCTGGTGCCGTGCCTGCGCCGCGCCCTCCGCGCCCAGGAGTTGCGGGCCGCCGAGGCGGCGAGGGAGCGGCGGGCGGGGGCCCCGCCGCGGGAGGCCGAGGCGGCGCGCGAGAAGCCCGCCGCTGCCCCGGGCTCGCCCGCCAGGCCGGCGGGGCCCGCCTCGATCCGATCGTCCAGACCCTCCTCCTCATCCTCCTCGCTCCTCCCTGCTCCTCCTCCTGCTCCTCCTCCTCGCTCCTCCTCCTCCTCCTCTTCGCTCCTCCTCGCTCCTCCCTGCTCCTCCTCCTGCTCCTCCTCCTCCTCGCTCCTCCTCCTCGCCCCTCCTCCCTCGCTCCTCCCTCGCCCCCCCCTCCTCCCCAGGTTTTCCCTGCCTTGCTCCTGCCCCCTGAGAGGGCTCTCCCTGAGCAGGCCTCGGCAGGCAGGCGCGAGAGCGCGCGCGCGCCGCCCGGGGCGCACTCCTGACGTTCGGGCGCCGCACCTTGCCGCATCTTTCAAGCAGTGGCGAAGCGTCCTGGCTTGACTAACTATAGCCCCACAAAAGAATGTTCTAAGAACCAATTCCGAAATGTTCTTAGAACCTTTCTGATTGAGACTGTCTTGGTTCTAAGAACATTTCGGGGTAGGGCTAAGAACATCGTTTTTGGGTTTTAAGAACATTTCGTGGTAGGGCTATAGGAATGCCGGAACGGTCGGTCCCTGCTCAACAAACCCCCTCGAGTCATGAAACAATCATGGCGGAGGTTTGTTCCTAATTTTCAACATCGGGGAGTCCTTGCCGGGCCTCGGGGCCGTCCAGAAACGACCCAGGACGACAAACAGGTCCCGGGGAATGGGTTGAGACCTCTGGGGGTCGACGTTATGAAAGAATCATGACGTCGGGGGTCTGGGATCCGATCGTCGAGCAGATTCGGTGTCGACCCCGGCCGACCCGGTCCGATTCGATTCCTGTATTGCGTCGGTCTTCGGAGGAGGAAAAAGTACCAATGCCGCTCCTCTTCGCCCGTTCTCCCTTGCTTCAGCCTCCCGGGGGGTCCTCGTCGCCACCGCTGGGTTCGCCTCGACATTCTAGTCAGAACGCGCCCCAGGAGAGGTCTGGGGAGCAGCGGTATCGGTGCCTTTTGGTCTCCCCAGGTCCGATGCGTCAAACAGTGGCGAAGCGTTGAAGAACCTCGTTTGTGGTTTGCCCAGGCTGTTCTTTGAACATGTCTGGCTGAGACTGTCTTGTTTTCGCACACTGGTTTTATGTTCTGCGAACCTTGTCCTTGTTTTTATTACGCTCTGTTGTGCTGAGAGCAGTTCGTAGGAGTCCTCAAGGAATGCCCAGACGGTCCGTCCCTGCTCAAATGCGGCTCGAAGCTTGCCTGGCAACGCTGTGCACCCTGGCACG